GGTGGTGTGGAGACAGGACTGGTAAGAGCTGCCAAGGAACAGGACAAGCGAGAACAGCAGGATGTGGGAGAAAGGGGATAGGTGGTGGGAAGAGGGGAGAAGGAGAGAGGGAAAGATGGGTCTAAATCTAAATTATTTATTCCTGAGTGCAGCCTCCTGCCCTGGCAGGTGTTGGTAGTAGGTTTGTGATACTGGAGGAACAGCTCATTTTCTTGTCCAGGAGAAGGGACCTCTCCTGCGCAGTCCCCACTCGCCCAGGAGTCTGGGACACAGAGGGAGCTCTGGGAGGGAGCAGTGAAGTTCATCCCATACCTGCCCCCCTTGATCCCCCCCTTGCCGCTGCTGGCACATTAGCATGCAGGGGAGGCTCTGCTGTGTACTTAATGGCTCCATTTGCCGGTGTCTCTGTCAGCTCAAGTCGCCTTTCCTCAGTCTCGCGTTCCAACCAGCCATCCTCTCCAGGACCAGCTGGGTCCATCTCCCCACCGTGCCCATGCCAGCGGACTCTCCGGCACCCGGGTGCTGTTTCCAGCTGGGTCAGGCAGCGAGAGCAGAGCCGAGCGGTGCTGGAAGGGGAGGGAGCAAAACGAAGCAGTCTCAGGCGAGAGAGGAGGGAGAGACTCCGTCTCGGCAGTAACGAGGGAGAAGCTGTTTAGTCATCTCTCTAGATAGACTTTCACAATGATGATCGCATTTACTGATTGCTCCTGACTGCGTGCAGGGAGGGAGGCGAGCGGCAGCAGCACAGTTCACCTCTTATCCTGAGGAGCCACCGCTCCCCCTTTCCTCCCCGTTCCCCACATTCAGCCCTCCTTTTGGGCGCCGAGTGGCTTTCCTTGCCAGGTAAGGCAGCGCTGCGAGCCGGCAAGATGGGGCTGACTGGGAGGGAGGGAGAAGTTTGCATGCATTTCTCCTAAGCCTGTTGCTTTTGCTCCTAAACCTCTCCAACGGACTGAGGGAGTGAATGTTTTGGAGAAAGTTTGATTATCTGATGTGATTGCGAAGGGAAAGGTGTGTGTGACTGTCGGAGGAGATCAAAGCCTTGGCTGACATATTTTGCTTTAAAGCAATTGTGTCTCTGCTGTCTGAGCCTGACCCAACAAGGACAGGAAAGGAGAGAACAAATGATCTCAAGGCTCTTCAGTCCCATGAGCAGGGGTTCATCAAGGAACTCACAGTATGTTTATCAGTCGTATTTTAAATCATCCCTGTCTGCTTCCAGAAGGGGAAACACTATGAGATTTCTGTTTTGTTTCTGCTTTCATGAAACTACCATTTATTAAGTATGGCATTGCTGGTGGGAGCTAACATGGTAAGAATCCATCCTTTCTTTCTTGACCCTTTAGGAGAACAGAAATAGCTGTGCTCTCTCAAGTTTTCCTCCAGAGCTTTACTGACCCAGCCGTGTCTGTCAGGTTTTTGTTTGAAACTGGGATGAAGTCACGGTGCCCATGAAGCAGTGGCAGCACAGGGGACCCGAGGAGCCAGCAGTGGTCAGGGAGGGACCCGGTTGGGAGTCCTGGGAGGGAGTCAGGGAGCTCCTGCCACAGGCTTTCCTACCAAATCTCCTTGCAGCATTTCACTGGCCTCATAATTACCTAGAGAAAACAGATCTTTTTCTCTAGAGATGCAGACATTTCTAAGCCAGAAGGAGACAAATTATTTCATGTACTAGGTCTTCTAAACAACATCAGCGGAGTACCGGTCTTTTGTTAAATAGTTCCTTTTAAATGACATGCAGAAATTACGGTAATTAAAATTACAAATTGTGTATAGCTAAACATATGCTTGGTAGAATTACAGTGTGTCTGTGTGCTGTGCGAGCTGGAGACTCTCGACTGTGCAGTAGATTTTGAACCCAGCCAATTGCTTTCCAGACTAAAAAGACTGGTTAGCAGTTCCCAAAACCCAGGCGTGCAGAAAAGGAGGATTCTTTCCATATTTTGTATGTTTTTTCCCCTCAACTTAGTTTGTGCAGCTCAATTACAAATCCAGTCCTACCTCTCTTATTTTGAGTTCCAAGGGCTCATGGACAAGAAAAAGCAAAACCTCTTCTCCCTCTCAGTCCTTCCTCACAGACAGAGAATTATAGCTGAAAAAGACCTTTTTTTTTTGCATATTTTGAGGATCAAATGGGACAGATTTAATGCAACTTTGAAAATTAAGCCCTGTACACTAAGTTTTCTAACCAGCTGCCTCTCTGTCACAGAGAAATGAGAACTAAACTTCCACAGAAGAAAACCCCTCTCTTTCTCTTTTGTTTCTATCTCCTGTCCATTTCATAGCTGAGATATTTATAGCTTCCCCATATACACTGCCAGCATGGAAGGACCCATTTTATCTTTAAAAATTGATTTAAAAATGTGTAAGTCACTTATGAGTTACCAGAGCTTTATTAGAACAATTATATGTGAAGTATTTATAGTGCCGCAGCAGCTAATGTAGGTAACCTGGAATTTACAACCAAAGTTATCAAAGTAGAGAAGAGATTTCTAACAAGGTTCCCTTGAGAAATCAGGGGAGATGAGGATCCAGTGTGCTGTAGCTGGTCAGGTCACCAGTCAGCCCTGGTAGCATGACTGTAGTGGTGGTAATTGAAATTAAAAAGCAGAGCAGGCAGTTTACCAGCAAGGAAAACAGGAACAGGACGCATGATCTTGGTCTCTTGGTTATTTGCCTGTAGATGTTTGGTGATTAATGAATGAAATGGTTGTTGCTTTGCTGCCTCCTGTTTGCAGCCCTGTTCTTAGCACAGTGTTTCATACAAGTTAAAAGATCCACCAATGCTGGTGTAAGAAGGGGGCAGCCCTGGTCCTGAGCCCCGCGAGCCCTGGGCATTGCCTTCCAGCTAAAGACCGGGGCGTGTGGTCAAAGTCGTGCAGAGAAAGTTTGCAGCTCTGCACACAGTGGCAGAGCCTGGTCCCCAGGGCTGTCAGTCTGGCACTATTAACACAATAAATTCCCTCTTTAGGGAGAGAGAAAAAAATAACACATAGTAATATTGAACAATCCTTTATAGGAAAACATTGCGGGATGCTTCCTCCAGCGCAGTGTATATAAGCAAAGTATCTCCTTGGGATAAGCATCGCTCTGGGTTATTGTATGTTTCATAATTACAAAACCTCTTCCAGCAGCAGTAAGATGCTGGCCTGAGGGATTTCAATTGTCCTTTAGATAGTAAAATTGCACAGAAAGCTACTCCACATTAAGGTGATGAATGTTAATGTGCCCTGAAGAGGAAGCGCATTTCTGTGAGCAGTTTAGTCATTTTCACCACAGATTGATTCCATCATTTTTTATTCAGTATTTTGATGGCCTGTTGAAATCAATAATGCTGCAGCCTTACTGGCTGGAATGGCAGCTTTCATATAATTAAAAAACTTCAGAGTAAAACTGCCTAGAAGGATACCCCATAGAGGGTATTATTAGGCTTGGAGGGCCTGAGTCAGTGGAGTCAATGGAATTTCCATTGATAAATTTACTTTTGATGGGGCCCCTAATGCATCTTATATGTTAATGTCACCTTTCTCCAGATAGTTTTATGCTAGAGTCAGAAAAAAAAATAGGGAAGTGAAAGTAAATGCAAGTTAAAACAAAAGTTACAGATTACAAGAACTCTGATCAAAGACAAAAAAAAACCAAAACAAAAAAAGTCATTACTAGCTCAGAACCACAATAACTACTCTAATTTCAAGAGAATGTTGGCTTCCAGGGGCTGAGGATCTGGACAACTTGGGATATTTTTCATCTAAAAATCAAGAGTGTCGTGAACATATTTCAATTCAACCTAATAGTCAGTCAGTTCTTAGGTGGAGGGATTTCTGCCTCTCTTAGCAAAGAAATAATCAAGAAATAATCTTCCTGTGGGGAGGATTGTTGTCCAACTTCGGAGGCTTCCCTCATTCTGATGTTCTTGGTAGCTTAATCCATCAGCTTTCACGCCTGGGATTGAAGCTCACTGTTGCTCAGGTATTCTGAGCAATGTTTCCCTGAAAGTCAGGATTTTCCTCTGGGCTGGTGGAGGGATGTAATATTTCACAAGAGTAAAACCCATCTCTAAATGAAAAATACCAGCAAGAAACTGCTGCTGAGGCCAAAGCTTTAATTAAAGGTAGAAGAAAACTAATGAAACCCAGAGAAGATTTTCTGTTTCCTTCAACTGAAAATGTTCTTGGTGCAAGGTTCATTACACATTGAACTTTTTTAAGACTGGAAACCCAGCTCAGTCCAGTCTTGGCTTTTCATGGCACACAATTTCACTGGGTGAACTGCAAGCTGATTTCACTGGAGTTCCCAGCTCTTTCTTGACAGCTGTAGTTAAACTGATGAGCACATGAGGCTTCCACCTGGGGAATTATGGATTAGTCTTGTTTGTAAGGAAGCAAATATAAATTAGCATGTTTATGCTACTTTTAAAATGCTTTTAATGAGGAATCATTTGCTATTCAAAATTTCAATCTATAATAATGCCATAACCCCGCTGAGCTGATTATCATGTGCCTTGTTTAACATCATTCTTCAAATGGGAGTTGAGGGCAAGCCAGTTGTTTGAAGTTCTTGTCTTCTGGTATCTGACTCTAACACAATGGGGCAAGACACCCCGCTTGACTGTGTGTTGTGTTTTTATTTTGTTCTGTATTTCAGATGGAACTGATCTGACTTCCAGCAGGTCTCAGGAGCAGCCTAACTGTCTTCTCCAGTAACAAGGGGTGGGGTCATCATGGCAGCAGGAGTAGCAGCATGGTTGCCCTTTGCCAGGGCAGCTGCCATAGGATGGATGCCAGTGGCCAACTGTCCCATGCCACTGGCTCCAACGGAGAAAAACAAGAGGCAGGATGAGCTCATCATTCTCAACGTGAGTGGCAGGCGTTTCCAGACCTGGAGGACTACACTGGAGAGATACCCGGACACTCTCCTGGGCAGCACCGAGAAGGAGTTCTTCTTCAACGAAGACACTAAGGAGTACTTCTTTGACCGGGACCCTGAGGTTTTTAGGTGCATCTTAAATTTTTATAGAACTGGCAAGCTGCACTACCCCAGGTACGAGTGCATCTCTGCTTATGACGAAGAGCTCGCCTTCTATGGGATCCTCCCTGAAATCATTGGGGACTGCTGCTATGAAGAGTACAAAGACAGAAAGCGGGAAAATGCGGAGCGGCTGATGGATGACAACGACTCAGAAAACAACCAAGAAGGGTCCATGCCATCCCTGAGCTTCCGGCAGACCATGTGGCGAGCCTTCGAGAACCCCCACACCAGCACCTTAGCCTTAGTCTTTTACTACGTCACCGGTTTCTTTATCGCTGTCTCTGTGATCACTAATGTCGTGGAAACTGTCCCTTGTGGCACGGTTCCTGGAAACAAGGAGCTTCCATGTGGGGAAAGATATGCTGTGGCTTTCTTTTGCTTGGACACAGCTTGTGTGATGATTTTCACAGTTGAGTATCTGTTGAGACTCTTTGCGGCCCCAAGTCGCTACAGATTCATTAGAAGTGTGATGAGCATCATTGACGTGGTGGCCATCATGCCATACTACATTGGCTTGGTGATGACCAACAATGAGGACGTCAGCGGAGCCTTTGTGACACTAAGGGTTTTTAGGGTTTTCAGGATTTTCAAGTTCTCTCGCCATTCCCAAGGCTTAAGAATCTTGGGCTACACTTTGAAGAGCTGTGCCTCTGAGCTTGGCTTTCTCCTCTTTTCCCTCACTATGGCAATCATCATCTTTGCAACTGTGATGTTTTATGCAGAGAAAGGGTCCTCGGCAAGCAAATTCACCAGTATTCCTGCTTCCTTTTGGTACACTATTGTAACCATGACAACACTGGGGTGAGTATTACTTTTTCTTTCACTGAGCAGCAGGCGAGCGCGTACGAGGAGCTTGACTTCAGTTACTCCTAAGCATTTTCCTGGGTGCATGTTTGAACAGGGGCTGGAACTGTTAAGGGCTTGATTGTTCTTTGCCTTACAACTTCAGCAATTGGTGCTTGTGTGTAGTTGTATAATACAGAAAAAGCACTTACACCCACTTGACAAATGCTTGGCACAATGGTAAATGAGTGCAGGAGGAGCAAGGCTGTGGAGTAGCAGGTCCTATTTCACACTCCTTCTGCGGGAGAGAAAAGTTAACATGAGTGCAAAAGAGCTGGTAAACAGAGCTTATGGGGTTTTTTTCAGACATTCATTCGAGCCATAGATTTTGCACAAGGTTGCTGACGTACACGTTGTCTCTTTTTGCGATGTCGGTCGTTCTTTCTTCTCTCGGTATGCCAGGAATTATAGATTTGCTGAATTCAAATGGATATTGTGGGCTGCTATGCTCCTGAAAATACTCAGTAATCTCCAGGACATGATCTGTTTTTTTACTTAATTGAGCAGGATATGGGCTTCTTGTCTGTGTTTAGTTGTGGGTTTAAGAAATAATACAAGTGTGCTGTAGCAGTTGCAGTAGAATTTCAAACATTGCCATGGACAGGTACAAAGATAATGATATCAAAGCAAAGAAAATGTAGCCTGGAGGGCACTTTCCCCCCTTATATTTCATTTCTGTCTTACAAATGTTTCTCCTGAGATTATAGATTTGAGCTTCTGTTGCTCTGAACTAAAACCTTTGTAAGCAGAACGGCCAAGCCCTCACCCTGGTGGGGTTGTGTAAATGAAAGCAGGCATCACGGGCTGCTGCTTCGGGCAGCCACAAAGTTCTGATCCCGTGCAACCTCTTAATTCCACACATCAGAGCAATACACTAAGTTTATAGTTACTTTGCAAAGAGTTTTCCCACTGGAGAGTTCACACAGTTTAATATTCAGATATAGACAATTCTCATTCTTGTATTACAGTGACCACTTTTTCTCTAAACTGCATTTGATTTTAAACACTTCTCTGTGCCTATTACACACGAACAGGCTCACAGTAGCACTTTTAAATTATTAAAATCGTAATTCAGCTGTCAGAACGGTGCAGAATCTGAGCATCTGACAACTGCAAGTCTGAATTTCTTCATTAAGTGAGAATGTGGAACGTGTTTGTCATAGTCACCAAAAGACCTCTTTTCCTCCGTTTTTAATATCTCAGCAAAGTTTGCAAGCTTGTATGGCAAAAGCGAAGGTCTTTATCCTGGAAAGAAGTCAGCACTTGCTTAGAAATGAAAGCTGGGCTTTAGATCCCAGCACTCCCCCACCCTGTGGTTCAGCTTTCCATATTCTCACTGGTCCATAGTGGTCAGTTCCCACCATCATATCTGAGCAGCTTCAGAGGGCCACCTGGCCTGGGTGGCTTGTTCACATGTCCTCTCCACGAGGGAGAAATGCCCAAAAATACAGTTCTACTGCCTGGTTTCTGTTTGATAACGACCATACCTGTATTTCTATCTACACACACTTATGGACATTCACACGTACATTGTTATATTTCTGTGACAGCAATGTTGGGGTCAAAGCAGGGTTCAGAGGTGCTCAGAGCAAACCTTCTTTGTGAAATACACGTGGAATGTGCTGCAGTGCAATTGAGTCTCTGTTCCCATCAGTGCAGTGACTTGGTTTTGTTCTCCTTCCTTTCCTCTCTGAACGCATGGATAGACAAACCAGAGTGCTCCTGAGGACTTTCAAGTGTCCTCAATCTGTGGTAATCACAGAAATTATAGATGAATGAGTGCTTTTAATGAGTTGACAAGAATTTTAAAAGGTAGACATTTAAACACGGCTTTGCAAGTGTTCATTGAAAGGGACCTATAAAATGCTGTCAAAGCTTTAAAGCTTAAACTTCTGGCATTACTGATTTGGGATTTTTGTCGCAGGATTTTAATTAAAATAGAGGTCTATATCAGTTAAGTTTAGTGTCATATCACAGATTTACAAGAAACTCATAAACCTCAGTAATGGCAGACCCTGGAGAGCCCCTGCGCTCTCTGACAACATCCATCTCACCATGACTGCATTCAGCAGGGACCTTGCTCTTCCTTATCCAAGCACCCAAAGTCAAACACTCTCTGCTGGCTTGCCCAAAACCTGTGCTAGAAGGAGAAGTTGTCACTGTGAGCCATAAAAACCCAATTCCTGCCAGACCAGCTCCGCAGAGCCTGGCTGGAGCCCCTTGGAGAGGCACCTTTTGGAGCTGCTCAGGACAGTGGTGGGTCCTGGTGGTGCCAGCACCGGCCCTTGGCTCATGCAACAGCTCTCACCCACAGCTTGGCACCCCAGCACAGAAACTCATGAACTCTAGAAAAACAAACCCTTTGACCTGAGGTCATTTCCACCTTCCTGACTCCCAGCATGTGGTGTGGGTGGTTCACACACCTTCATTTCCCCATAAATCCTTCCAGTTGTGACTAAGTGACATTTTTATACAATATTTCATACATATCTCTCTTCAGAAGTCATTTCAGTATGTTTGGAAAGATCCTGTTACTAATGAGAGTCCTGGCAATTCCTATCATACAGATGTTGCCAAAATTGCAGCCAAAGTCTCTAATGTGCTTCTCGATACATCAGACTTTGCCTCGTTAGTTCGCTGCTTGCACTTCTGCAATGCTCAGAGCTTTTATATCTTACATATTTCCTGCCATTTGCCTTTAAAAATTCATCCAGCATTTAAACCACGAAATTATAAAGCACAATGTTTTTTAACTCACATCTATACACATACGTCTGTATTTTTTGTTTCAAACACTGAAACATTGAAATCCCGATCAGTGAACATTTCCCTGACACTGGAATTCCACCATTGCTTGTGACAGAGTGCTTTAGAAAAATGACTTGGAGCATGCAGGATAACTTTTCCCATGTTATTAAGGTATTGAAAAATTAGCTCTGTTTATATAAAAGAGAAAGTTTACTTACAACAAACAGGCAAGGCTAGCACTAGGAAACCAGTAACTCTCCTACTGCACTGTACATCAGCTGCTGTTATTCCAGATTCCCAAGTACCTTTAGGATACAACTGAATTTCCAGGTTGACCCATCAATGAAAAGCAATAAAAATGCATTTCTTCTGAAAGGTGAAACACTGCACAAAATAGAATAAGTGCTGCTTTTGGTTACTATGCAAATCAGTTTTGAGAAATCCAGGACGACTTGCGAGCTGCTGAGGTTGTTAACAACCCAAGGAGAGAGGTACAACAGTTTTTCTGGAACGGGAAACAAAGCAAAGGAATTAAATTATACTGACCCTGCATCTCTGATCCCTCTGCTCTGCTCATCAGCCCTGGTTTAACAGAGGCTGTTTTTAATTTAGCACGATTTAAATTTTGCTCAGGAGGTTTTATAATGAAAGCATTATTCTTGGGTGCATCTTAAATCAATCTGAATTACTGAAACAACTATTCAAAATTAATTCAAAATCGGCTATCCAATTCATGCAGAAACATTTTTCTCAAGAGGCCAACAGATCCCCAGCTTCTCTTGCCCTTGTCTAAAACACCGACACAGTAAATACAAGCTTTGCCAGCAGCCTCCCTGTTCTGCGGGGGGTTTTGACCCCTCTCAGTAATTCAAGCGCTGCCGAAAGCGCCGGAGCAGCACGGGGCTGGTTCCCCTCGTCAGCATTCGTGTCCCTGTCATGGTTCGTAGCTGACTTGATAAGCAATAACCACCAGTTTCCTATTCTCTACAGAGACAGTTTAATTATCATAAATTTTGTTACCTTGTTACTAGCCTGTTGGTTTTATTCATTTTAAATAGCGTTTGGTGGTGGATGGGGCAGCCTCGTGTTTCTCTGCCCGTCAGCGTGCATCCCAAACCTGGCTGTGGTATGAAACCTCTCACACTACTAAACCCCACACCATTTTTGCCCAGAGGACATCTTTTTCTAAGCTTTTTATAGCTGTTTTCATTTCACCTGACAACAGCAGTATGTTTCAGACTCTCGGGCAGTGTCTGCGACCTGCAGCCTAGGCAGCAAATTGTACTTGTGAAAACCGAAGTGTTGTGTCTGCCTGCAGTGTCCGGGGCAAGGAGAGGCTCTGAGGGGTCTGCAGAGCATCACAACCAGGCTGGGGTCCCCACTGCACCCTGGGCTGGGGGGCCAGGGCTGAACACCCCCCTCCCCACCACAGATGGGAGCAGAGAAGGGTGAGGGACCCGCAGCGGATCTGAGAGGGAATCAGCACCGAGGTTTTGGGGCCATTTGTGTCAAGAAACCAGCAGAACCACAGGCCAAGGAACAGAGGCTGCTGATAGATTTTGTTCTGGTTTGAGCTTAGGGACACGCTGTGTGATCACAGGATCATGGAACCGTTTGGTTGGAAAAGACCTTTGAGATCATCAAGTCCAACTGTACTGATTTTCTATCACTTGACAAAGGCTGAGCTCCCACAGCTCAGCACCCTCGGGGTGGTCCTGGGAGGATCTGTCTTGTGTCTGACTGTCTCCCTTACAATTTGCAAGAACATAATGGTTTTGAGATCACTATCCCTCTTTCAGATTCAGCTGCACTGGGCAATGGGTTTGAAAGATGCACATCACTGCACTTGGACAACAGTCCTATCTATAGAACTCATTTAAGGAACCGGGTTAATGCTCGGAAGTCAATAAAACAGATGTGCTGGCCTGGTTATGTCAACAGCCCGATCTGCAGCAGGAACTGAAGTTTCTTACAGTTTTTATTAGCTGGGTGCTCAGAGAGCAGGGACCTGGGGGCTCTTTTGGTTTGGTTGGTTCCCTGTGGTTCTGCAAAACGTGGGTCAGGGAGAGAACAGCAGAGCTGACACCTGATCAACCCCTCTGAAAGAAACATCGTTCTTTCCTTTGCTTGTTTGTTGGGCTTTCTTTATTATTGGTATTCAATCACGGACAAGAAAGGAGATGAAATTTAAGTTGTGAAATAGCACGTGAAATA